CCTGGATGTGGTGGACAAGCTCCTGAACACAGCTCTAAAATTTAGCATCGGCTGAAGGAGGACGATACAAACAGCCAAGAAGTTTGTTTGTATTTATTTTGATTCGCAAGTTCAAACGGGCATAGAACCCAATAACTTGAAAGCGAATATGAAAATCATAATGAGAATGAGAATTCAAATACTTTGATCTTCAACGTAGAGTCAGCGGTACATCAGAGGGAGATCGGGTACAACAGAAAGAGAACAGAAAAAATCATATTTCGCTTGTCGACATCTACAGGGCGCAGGTATAGGGGATTACCTGGGTGCGAAACTGCGGAGCGTGATGGATGGCAAGGATGTCGCTGGGGAGGGCATTCCATAATACAGCACCCTTGCAAGCAAAGCGCCCCCGCCCCGCAACCGAACGGGAAACTGGCACGCACAGGCCCATGGCAGATTGTTGTTGTTGTAGAAGTTTATTTAACGTCGCACCACAAACAGGCGATTTCGCCTCCTTTGATACATGTGGACGACAGAAGGAATGAGAGAGAGGGGGGGGGGACAGAAGTATGGAGAGAGGAAGGGTAGAAATAAATAAGCAATCAACCTCAGGGCTACACCAAAGCAAAAACGGAATGGGAACATACTTTATACAAAATAGCTTCATACATATAATTATTGCAAAACACGTTTACTATTCTTCAGTCCGCTATACCACAGAAACACACTAGCCGAAAAGCATTTAAGCGGAGCCATGATGCGCTTTTAGCAGGGCACAGAACTGAAGGTGGCTGGGCTCGGAACGGAGATTAGGCGGGAGCTGGTTCCACAGGACTGCGCCGATGAACTGCATGGTCGCTCGACCCGCAGGACCGGGCCAAAATGGTACTCGAACGAGGTGATGTGCTGCTCCCCGAGTGCGGTCACCAGTAACTCTCACGAAGAAGCTGGTGAAGAGGGAGCTAGCTCGGAAGAACAGACAACGACGGACAAAGATGAGGAGCTTAATGTTAAACATGTCCTCCAGGGTGGTGAGGCGGAGCTGTTCAAAGATCGGGCTCGTGCGCGACCACGGTGGCAGACCGAAGAAGCCGCGGATAGCGCACTTCGTTAGACGTGTGAGGGGCTCCATGTTGCCAATTTGAAGTGACGGATAAAAGGCGGTGGAAGCGTACGACAACCTACCCTGGATCATCGACCTGTAAAACAGGATCTTTGACGCCAGGGTTGATTGGAGCCGAGTAGGGCCGGGTGCAGCGGGGGTTAGCAGGGCTTGCAACTCTGGACTTGCCAGTGCATAACGACAGCGCCACACCAGGTATGCTAGCTTCTGATTGAAGACTTCTGCCACACGGAACACTGCAATGCGCTCAAGCAGGTCGCGGGCAGACGACCACGGACGGCGGCCAAAGACAGCACGAGCCCCGCTGTTCTGCAGGACCTGTAGACGGTCGAGGTACCTTCTTTGCAGTGAGCTAGAGTACGCGTTTGAGGCATACAGCAGGTCAGACATGATCAGCGATCTAAAGTAGGTCATGCGTGACTGGTGATTCAGGCAGCGGCGCATTCGCCAGAGTGCTCCGATCTTCTGCGACACGCGTGCAGAACATTTGGCAATGTGGGCGTGCAAGGACATGCTGGAATCGATTGTGGCGCCAAGATAACGAGCACTTGGCACACTAGGCAGTGAAGTGTCATGGCAGACGACCTGTAGATCCGCTGTGTGCTGACGGCCGGCAGGAATTGGCACGACTTGGCTCTTGCCAGCATTGAGGATCAGGCCTCGATCCTTCAGCCAGTCTGCAAGGATTGAAACAGAAGCAGATAAGACATCGGATACCTCCTGTGCTGTTCGCCGGCTGCACGCGAGCGCAATGTCGTCCGCGAATTGAACTGACTCGGACTGGCCAACTACAGCGGGGACCTCGCGGGTGTAAAGGCTGAACAGAATGGGGCCCAGCACCGAACCTTGGGGGAAACCACTCGTGCAAGCTGATATAGAGCTAGTCCGCGACCCCAGACAGACACGTTGAGTGCGACCGGATAGGTAGCTGGCGAACCAGTCCAAGGCAGTACCGGACGCTCCAACACTGTGGAGATCCTGCAATAGCTTGTCATGTTTGACTTTATCGAAGGCTTTAGACATGTCTAACAGGCATACACCTGTGAATAGGCCCTGGTCCTTGGCTGTTAGGATGCGGTTTGACATAAGGACTAATGCGTCTTCGGTAGAGTGGCCACGCCTGAACGCAAAACTGGGTTGTTGGTAACGATGCTGTTATGTCCAGGAAGGTGATGAGCTCCTTCTGAATCAACTTCTCTAGCAGCTTGGAGAGTATGGGTAGAAGGGATACAGGGCGGAAGTTAGTTGGCAGTGATGGATCACCAGATTTATGCAGTGGGATGACATTAGCTAGCTTGAACGCCGAGGGCACATGTCCGCACGACAGCGAGGCATTGAACAGGCTAGTGACAGACGGCGCCAAGACGTCAGAGCAGAGTTTGAGGACTGCCCCTGGTACGCCATCGCTGCCTGTTGCCTTCGCGGGATTAACCTGCAGGAGTAGCCGTTCAACAGCACCGATACTGACGTGTGAGAACTTGGGGAGGGAAGTGCGGGGTGGAGGCCCGAGGGGAGCAGACAACGTTTGCGGTCGACAGTCATCAGTAACCACCTTGTGGAAGGCTGAGGCGACATCTTCGATCGTACAAGAGGGTTCAACATGGGGACGGTCTCTACAGGTGACTTTGTTAATGGTACGCCAAAGCTTCTTGGTGTTTCCTGCGTTTGCTGTACATTGTCCCTGGAAGTAAGTGTTTCGCTTTTGTCGGTATGCATTTCTAGCTTCCGCACGGGCGCGCTTGAATGCAGTGTGGAGCGCAGCGTTTGCTTTGTCTCCCCACCACCGCCTATGCAGCCGATTCTTGCGCTGGGTGAGCTGGAAGAGGTGCCGATCCGACCAGGGTGGTAGCTGCTTCCGCTTGGCAGAAGAACACTGGAGAGGAGCATGCTTGTCGAGGATCGCCAAGAGTTTGTAGTGCCAAATTGACCACATGTCATCAACTGTAGTGTTCGGGGGCCAGGTATCAAGGTGTGCTGCATCAAGGTCGTCTCGGAAATCAGGTATGTGGATTCTACGTACGTTGCTGAATGGCTTCCTCGAGTTACATGCTTGTCTGGGCACTTGAACGTGCAGGCCCAAGAGGATCTGAACGACATCATGGTCGTTGAGGGTAGATGGCACTACGGCGCAACTCCGGGCATCATCGCAACTTGTGAGGATCAAATCGATGATCTTGCCATTGGGGCACTGGGGTGTGGTCCTAGTGGCAGTTGTGACCAGGTTTCTGAGGCCATAAGATGCTACCAAATCTGAGAAGCGCTGATAGTGCGGGGATGTTGTGCCGGCTCCGACATCGACATTGAAGTCTCCAAGCACAGTCATAGATGGTGTCAACAATGCTGCTTTATGAAGCGCTCCATCAAGTCTTTCCCAATAGGTGACTGTTGAGTCGGGCGGGCGGTACATGCAGCCTATGAGATGCTGGCGACCACGTCTGTTTACCGAAATCCAGGTGCCTTCAAGGCCGTCTACGAGGAGATCAGGACGGTGAGACACAGGGAGCGTTGATTTGTAGAAAATGCATACTCCTCCCTGGCGGCCATAGCGGTCGAAGCGGACAACACAGTAACCAGGAATGTGGATCTCATTATCAGATATGGTGCTGTTCAACCACGTCTCGCAAAGGGCAAATACATCCCACATATGCAAGTTAATAAGGTCTTCTAGCTCTGCAACCTTGTGTCGAAGACTGCAGATGTTTAAGAAACCGACCCGAATCTCACCCAGTAGACGCAGCTGTGGTGCGGGGGTTGCACAATAGCGCGAGGGAAAAATGAATTGGCATTGGGATTCAGAGTAAATGTGGTAATATTAGAGAAGGAAAGGGGGCATCCTGACATAAGACTGCACCGAGCTATGTGCACACATTTCAGAGTTACGAGGCGAACTGAGCTCCTTGAGGCAGTCCGCCATTGCCCATGTCGACCAACAGCAACAAAAAGGCGAGGAGGTCGTGGAGAGTGCAGCTAGTAGTACGAATAGTGCCCGTACGATAACTGGAAAGTCTAAGCCGCGCGCAAATAGTGAAAAAAAGTCAAAGCAGCAGGCAGAACACGTGGGAACGCACACTGAACCCCGTACCCGTAGCGCTGCTACACCCTTGCACACAGGCAAGACGGTGCCCTCAGTGGACACGGAAACGGGGTACAATGTCATGTTTTCTGACGCAGAGGGTACTGAACTCCTGCCAGTCAAGAACTCCAAGCCTGTGTTCAGCACCATCACGGACGACTCTTGGAAGTTGGTCTCTGCAGGACCACCCAAGACCAAGCGCTCTGTTGCCTATGTGGGCAACATCTCCCAGATTGCACAGAGGACCGCCTGAAACAGTTCATCATGGACAGAAGCGAACAGGCAATGTCAGGCTCTTCCATTCCCGTGCAGTGTACATGTAGGAGAGAGTGGACGAGTATCGGCCAGAGTCACTGTAGATGCCACCTCCATGCCTATTGTGACCGCCCCCAACTTCTGGCCTAGGCCTTTGTACTGCCGACCGTGGCGCTTCTCCAAAAACTCTGGCGGAAACCGCAGCAGCAACAGCGAAAACAGCAGCAGCAGCAGAAGCAACGACAACAGCAGCAGCGACAACAGCAGAAGCAGCAACAGCAGCAGCAGCAGTAGCAGCGACAACAGCAGCAACAGCAGCAGCAGCGACAACAGAAGCAGCAACAGCAGCAGCACCGCAGAAACTTCCGCACCACAGGCAAACACCACTGGCAACGCAAGCAGTGCAGATGAAAGGGACAGTGAGGATGGAAGCTCTGCCGATGCAGGTACCTCGAATCGAACTCCAGGGATGAAAGCTCGCTCCCACCAGCGAGATTCACCACCTGCAGACCAAGCAGCCAAGTACCCTGTCTCACTTGGCAATGCGTTTGCACCCCTAAGCCGGTAATGACCAACAAAACCCTGAAACTGTTCGTAACAAATGCCTTTGGGCTAATGAGTAAGTTAGATGAATTCCGCCATGTGCTCCATGCTGAATCCCCAGATGTTGCCATAGTAACAGAGTCTAAGCTGTCAGAGGCTGTGACTCAAGCAGAGTTGACACTCTCTGGCTTCTACCAGCCTCTGAGACGCGACCGAAACCGCCATGGTGGCGGGGTGGAAGTTTGGGTGAAGGCCACGCTAGCCATGAACGAACTGAATACCATTGATGTCTTCGGCCAGGAGCTAGTATGGCTAAACGTCAAACTGTCAACTGGCCGGCCTGTGGCTATATGTGCTGCTTACCGTCCTGGAACGTGCTCAGACACAGACACCAGCATCTTCGACGTGATCTGCAGGGGCCTCACCTCCACAGCCTGCCGCAACTCTGCTGTGATAGTTGCTGGAGACTTCAATGTACATAACCAAGAGTGGCTCCACAGTAGCAGAACAACTAGAGCCGGCGAGCATGCAGAGGACATGTGCTACATGCACGGTCTTGAGCAGCTAGTCGACCAACCAACGTGTGGCCGCAACACACTGGACCTGATTATGTCCGACCTACCCGTAGAATCATTGGCTACTGTCTTGCCACCTCTTGGCAAATCTGACCATGCCTGTATACTTGCTGACTTCCAGATCCGTGCATCACGCGAGCCTCCCATATCAAGAACAGTATGGAGGTATCAGCATGCTGATTGGGCCAGGCTCCGTCACTTCTTCAGAACCACCAATTGGGCAGCTATTGCTCGGACTGATCCAGACCTGTCATGCACTGGCATCTCAGAGAGGATCCTGGAGGGTATGAAGAGATTCATCCCCTCTAAAATTCTGAAAACCCGAGCATCAGATCCTCCATGGTGGACCCCTGAGTGCACTGCTGCCACAGTGAGGAAACGACGTGCATGGAGGTGCCTGAGAGACGACCAGTCTGACCACGATCGGCAGTCAGCCTACCAAGATGCACGGCTCTCAACGATTGCCTGTCTCAAAACTGCCAAGAGTGCTTTCATGGCGAAACTGAGACAGAAAATGACCTCAAAGCAGCTGCCACCCAGTGACTGGTGGCGCACCGTCAAGCGTGCCTCTGGCAATGGGCGTAGTCAATCTGTTCCGACATTACGTGATCCCAATGGACGAGAGTACACAGCCAGCGCAGACAAAGCAGAATGCATGGCCCGCTATTTTGCAAGCAAATGCAGTCTCGCACAAGATGACCTGTCCGCCCCATTCCCATATGTCAGACCTCGAACTGACCAGGCTCTTTCGGACGTCCGTTTCCGCGTCGCTGCTGTTGAACGCACCCTTCGCCAGCTCAACCCATCAAAGGCAACCGGGCCGGATAGGATACCGGCACGAGTGTTGAAAGCCTGCTCTGCTGAACTGGCGCAACCGCTTTCCATACTGTTTACCCAATGTTTCCAAACTGGGATACAGCCCAAGACATGGAAGATTGCCAACATAGTCCCTATATTCAAACGGAAATCAAAGTCTTTACCCTCCAATTACCGTCCAGTTTCGCTCTTGTGTATTCTGTCCAAGGTGATGGAGACAATCATCAACAGAACAATCACAAATTTCCTCGAGTCGAACAACGTCTTCTCCA